GTCCCACCTTAGGCACAAAGGCAGCTAGGTAGCCTTAGTTCACACATCTTAAAGTTACCAAAATTGAGGAATACTGGCTTAGAACATCAAATGGGCTTGCTTTTCAGAACACTGCTGTAGCTAACTAGCTGCAGTGAAAAATGACTTGGGATGAGGCAGAGGACACTCAGGGAAACCATCTTTATCATACCTGCAGAAAAGGCACAGCTCACATTCATTCTGGTATGTTAACCCATTGTTCCCACAAATAGGGTTGTGGTACAAAATACAAATTGGTTGGAGGAAATAGTAGATACAGATGGGCTGCAAACATTAAGGAAACATAAGACAGAGTGGTTAAGAAGAAACTTTGCTACTTAATCACCCCTAAATCAAGAAGGCTGTCGCATAGTGTTGGTGAATACTGTGCAGTCTAGCCTACAAACCTGGGATTTTGGGGGGATCATCCATCCAAGTACTAATGAGGACTGATTTTAGCTTTCTTTGTGATCAGCCTAGGTCTGCTGATTGCTCCTACCTCTGACTTCTCAAAATACTTGTAAAATACTGCCTTCTGTAAAAGCACTGCCTAAAACTTCTAAAACCAGCCTAAAATAAATAAAAACTCAAATCATTCTAACAACTGGCTACATTTGCTTCTATCAAGCCATTTTCTTTTTTTAATTTAAAGCTTGTGCATGATGTCCTTCCTTATACACAACCCAACATAGAGATCATTTGTTTCAGTTATCAAATTTGTATGCTGCCCAACTTCCAACGACTCTGGGAAGCATACGAATATTTTATATACACACTTATACCCCATTAATCTAGAAAGTAGTATATCTCCTTCGTCAGTGTGTCCTGAAATGCTTACTTTGTGATGGGCAGAGGCATTGAAAGAGAACCAAGATGCTGGATCTAAACCAGCATTTTACTATTTTCCAGTGCTCCAGAGCCATTGTGCCCCAGGTGAATTGTAGACAATGCCCATGATGTCTAGCTCCAATTGTACAAAACTGCTCTGAGTGCCAGGCCAAAATATTTTTTTAAGGAGAGTATAGAACAGGTAAGAGCAGCAGCATCTGGGATCTCACTGGAGGTGTTTGAAGCAAGCTCTCATACAAGCAGATACTGTACAAGGGAACAGCAACATGTGACTCTTTTACAGCCCCCTTCCTGTGCTAGACTGTCAGTGCAAAACTCTTTTTAACTCCTGAGAAAGTAGCTATGTATTGTCACATCAAAAATAGCAAAACCATTTAAATTCATGATCCAGTTAGACATAGTAGAAACAATAACCCCCAGTACCCTAAGAAACACTCCAAACTAACCCCCAGTGCCAGCAGTTTTAAAAGCAATAATAGTTCATTGTCTATAGTCACCTACTCAATTTTTCATGGTTATTTTGACAAGCAATTCTTGGATTTTTACCACATTGTTTGATAGAATTCAAATTGATACACCAAGCCCCGTGACATTCCAGAATGCTTGAAGGTTCCATTTTAAACAAGAGTTTTTGTCTGCTAGAGCAAGCCAAAGGGTTAGATAGTCTAAGATCCTGTTTTTCAGAAAGGCCAACTAGATGCTCTGATGAGTGTACAAGCAAGGCAGTTTTGCACCCAACCTGCATATTTAGAAAGTATGCTGCCTTTGATCCTGGAAATAGCATTTAGCAATCAGGACTTTGTAATCAATAATCCTTTCTCGTTGTTCAAGTTGGCCTTTTATAGTGTCTTTTTAAAGTCTGATTCACTCTACTAGCTTTCCATTCTATATCAAGTTTCAGCCTGCCCTTATACTATCATTCTCATTATCCCCTGTCTGTTTTTTGGAAACTAAGATGCTGAAAGGTACAGTTAGGGAAAGCTGTTTTATATGCTCTTTCTTTTTTCATAATGACAAATGTGGGAGAGGATGTTTGTGAGACCCCCTCCATTAATTCAGAAAAAAATATTGTCTGACCAGAGAAGGAGAAGAAGGAGAAGGAGAAGAAGGAGAATAATAATAATAATATTATCATTATTATTATTATTAATGTTGTATGTTGCCCAACTCTCAACAACTCTGGGCAGCTCACAACAATCCAACAAAGAAATTACAATAAAATCAATAAAACATAACAAAATAAAGATAAAAGATGACAAGTGCGATGAAGCAAGTCACTCCCCCCCACCAAAGGCCTGGGTGAAGAGTCAGGTCTTCACAGCTCTTCTAAACAAGAACAGAGTGGTGGCCATCCAGATCTCTGGGGGGACCTGGAGCGCGCCAACCCTGCAGGATCACATTGGCCAGGCAGATGTTATGGGAGACAGTTGGTCCCTCAAGTAACTAGGCTCTATGCTGTGTAATAATCCAATGTGCCAGCTCCTCCCTCCCTAAAAGTCTTGCTGGTTTGGTTATCTCATTGAGATTTCCATCTTTGCTATTCAAAGAAGCAAACCTAACGGTTGTTTTTAAGCTGATGCTTCAGTTGGCAATGAGTGACCAATGACATGAGAATACTAAAACCAACAAGACAGAAGCAACACTTAGTGAACTACAGAGAGGAGCCAGCACAAATATGCCTAACAAAATCCAATCCTTAGTGAGTACGTCATCCAAACACAGGTACAGTATTTACTGGTTATTGGAAGGACCACCAGTCTCCCATAGAATCTGTCCAGCTGATTCCATCCTGTCGGCTTGGCGCGCTCTGAGTTCCTTCGATTAAACAATGCCATCTATCAGGACCCTGGAAGCACGCCTTCTCCGTCGCACCACCTGCTCTCGGGAATGAAGTTCCCCCCAAGATCTGGATGCCCCCTTCCACTGATGTTTCAAAGGGCCTTGAAAACCTGGCTCTTCCCCAGGCCTTCAGGGAGGGTGATTGAAGGCCCCTGTAGGTGGGGTGAGTTGTTTTCCTTCCTTCCAGTCCGGTTTTGTCATCCTTGTCATCTTTACTCTTTATCTTTGCGTCTTGTTGTTTTTCTTGTTTTTAATTGTTTTATTTCTAAACCACCAGAATAGCTAGAAGTCAGGCAGCATAGACATTCAATAGATTATTATTACTACAATTATAGACATGAACAACAAAAAAGCATACACGTCTTGGTAGTTTTCTTCCGCCATGTCCTTCTGGGTTCCTCTCTGCAAGAAAATGCATATGAAGTCAAAATCCTATACTTTAACTTGTGTAAAAATTACATTTTTGGTACAACGTTGTAAATCTTTCATCCTGGTCCCAAACGCAGCAGTGCAGGCAGTGACGGGCATGCCTCGTGATGCCCATGTGCTACTTCTGGTCCTTGAACTGCACTGGTCACCAGTTTGCTTCCATGAGCAATTCATAGTGGTGGTTGTTACCTATAAAGCTTTACATGGCAGAAGGCCCAGTTATATGTAGGATCTCCCATCTCCCTTGGGGTCTGCCCAGGTGATTCAAGCTGACAGGGTTGGCATGCTCTGAGTTCCTTCAATTAAACAATGTCATCTATCAGGGTTAGGGTTCTCTGTTGCAGTGCCTGCCCTCTGGAATGAGGTCCCCCTGAGATCCAGATGTCTCCCACCCTGTTGGCATTCCACAGTGCCATAAAAAACTGGCTGTTCTTCCAGGAGCCCCCTTCGCTGAATGTTAGATGCTGCTGGGATTTTTGGGGTGTCTTATTCTTCCTTCTATTCCTTCTGTTCTAGTTTGGTTTTGCTGTTTGTTATTTCTTATTGTATTGTTTTTATATTATCTGGTGTATTGTGAGCCAACCACAGTCATTTGGGGTTGAGCAGCATCACATAAATAAATAAATGGTCATGTAAGACAGCACTTAGGCAACCATGGCTGTTAAAGCTGAAGAGATTTGAATCTGGTTAGTATTTGGATAGGAGACTACCAAGAATTCTTACAGACTGAGAAGATGAAAAAACAGCCTGGAAGAAGGCAATGGGGAAGGATTTCTATATTGTTGCTCAGAAAATTGCATAAATCTGCCTGTATAGTATATCATATAGCAGTGTTTCTCAATCTTAGCAACTCTAAGATGTATGAACTTCTTGTCACATGTGTGACTATGGGGAATTTAGGTAGTTGAAGTCCACACATCTTAAAAGTTGTTAAAGCTGAGAAACACCGCATAGGCAGAGAACTTCATATGAGGGAGACTTTATCTTTTATGAACAATTTGATGAAATTATAATGAAATAAGCAAATTCAAGATTTTCCCCTCCCACCCTAATTTAAAAAGCACATATCCACAGAAGCAGAAGTGTCAGTCTCTTGTCTAAAGGGCAAAAGAGAGCTGAGGGCAGTTCCCTCAAGGTCTTTTTAAAAATCATGGGATTGACCAAGCTGACCATCAGCTGCAAACTACAGGCATAAATTAAAGCAACATGGACACCAGCTGCTTACTTAAACCCAGTTTTATATCCCAGAATGTTATTCCCTGCACAGCATTCTTCACATATATAGGGCGCAATCTAGTAAGGGAACTTTTATAGAGATTTGTGTGACTGAATGAAGATTGATGTGGATTTGTTTTACTCCTATGGAAACTGATACTTTTACTTTCAAATAGAATTACTTCTTGTCAAGCAACATTATCTTCCTGGATTCCCTTCTGTGATTCTAAACACAAGGTCAATGAAATAAAAATATTACCGTTGTACGGTTACCACCTACTGTGTGAACTTGGCTGAATGCATGTATTTGTAGATGAGCCAATTCTTCATATTGTTCTTTTCAAGGCAGGCATAAAAGGAACCTGTTTTATCTAAGATTTTAATCAGAGAACTTTATACTGATCCCATAATTTAATTTTATTTATAGAAGCCAGTCCATACAGTGTTAAATTTAATTACTCCTAAAAAGATTTTTAAAAAAAGATTAATCTTTTCACATTAATATTTCAATATAACCTGAACTTTCAGAATCTGGATTGTTGTATACTAATTGTTGCAAGAGAGATTTTACACAGAAATAATGCAAAATGAGGAACAATTAAGTTACAGTTATAGTCCACTTCTGTACTGGCCTTTACAGCTACTATCCAAAGGTGTTTGTTTATTTATTGGGTTTATATAGCCACTCATCTCATTTTTATGTGAATCTGGGTGGCTTACAATAAAATAAATAAAATACATAATAGAAAAAATAGAAAATAAAGCTATAACATTATCCTCACAACCTTCACAATGGGGAAGCACTGTGGCCCTTCCTTAAGTTCACATCTCAAACTGGAACAAGTTATCAAATTTCATGTGAAAGAGCCTGCCCAACTATGTTATAGATTCTTATTCCATTTAAGATCTGTACAGTAAATGCTGTTAAACATCATCATTCTCATGGAGGTCCAGATGGCCCCAACCCTGTTGGACTTTCATAAGGCTCTGAAGACCTGGCTGTTTCCCCAGATGTTTGGGCCAGGTTAGGCTAGTCCTGTAGTTGCTGATGTGTTTTTATGACTGGAAGGGGTCATTTACCTGGGGGGTTACAGGTTATTGTTTTAATTGTTGGGTTTCAATCTTTGTGTGCCACCCAGAATCACTCTTGTGAGGTCGCTGGCCATATAAATTATTTATTTAAATAAATAAACAAAATGTTACAGTATTACGGGATATTTTCTTTTCTCCTAAGGCGCGCACGTGCTCTCTCTCTCTCGCTCTCTCTCTCTCTATATATATATAAACAAAGTGCCCCTGGGCCATCCTGGTTTCACCTTATTTGCTCCCTCCACCGAACCCCAAGCAGTTATATGGCTGATATTTGTCCCCACTCTTTTCTTTTCTTGACACAAGCTCTAGGAAGGAACCAGGTATATTCTACAACTAGATGGGCACTTAGCTGATACTACTTAAAAGGGAAATAACAGTGAGTTTATTTCTCAATTCTGTTTGCTGAACAGGCATAAAAATAGCTTCCTATGATTTCCAGATACAATCTGATAAGCAGTTTTTCATTACAGTATACATTTTAAAAGCTGGCAGCAAAGATCCAATCATTGTGGTACATTTCTAAGCATTAGCAATCCCCCATTTCAATAAAGATTATGATTAAAAGCACAGTGAATAAATATAAATATGATTAAATAATACTTTGATTTAAAATCATGGCAAAGCTACAGTAAAATTTCAAGATTTGGCAATCCATGCTTTATGACTCTGATTCAAGATGAAACATTACAATGAAGATTATGCTACAAGTTAATTTCATGGCAGAAATCACTATAATCTTTTTTAAAATGCTATAACCATACATATAGAAATCAAGAGGCAATACCAGTAGAATCTGAGCAAAACGGATAAAAGTGTGATCCATTTAATCATTCAGTATTAGGTATTTTGTCACATTTATTCTAGCAGTCTCTCCCAAAATCCAGGTCCCCAGATATGACTGGACTACAATTTCCATTATGCTTAGTCAGCATGGCTAAAGATCAGGGATTTCATAGTCTACCTTCTGTGGAGACAAGATTGCCCTATCGAATCAGCCTTTTCCAATCTAAAATATTCCTCAGCAGTATGATGACATTTAAAGAACTCCAGGACTTACCAATCAAAACAGTGAAATACAGGCAGAAAAACATAGTTGTATAGTTTTTAATATTCTTCGCTCAGGGCAATCAGATTAACAAAAAGGTTTCTTTTCAATATTGTTTCAGTGTAGCTATTAGATGTGCTTGCTTAAAAGAAGGAATACACAATGACTAGAGGCACAGAAATGTACTCCTATTATGTATTTTGATTTTTTTTTTAACCATTTCATTTCCCATTAGCTTTACAACATGAGCAGTTTGCTGGGCTTGGAGAAATGGAACTCTTTCTCTTAATACTGATTTTTCGTGAGCTTAGTTCACTCAACATTGATTATAAAATCTTTAATGCTGCATAGCTAGAGCTGAAGACAAATTTAAGCATAATTTTTTACAAGTATATGTTGCCTGTTTGGTGTCACCTTAGCATGTTGCATGAATCCAACCACTGGGGATTGGAAACCATGCTTTACTTCTGTTGGGTGAATCCAGCCAGCATTGATTTACTCAACAAATCATGTTTAAACAACGGCTTGGTGCAATATGAGAATCCAACCTGCTTTAAATGCAGAAACAGAGATGTTGAACAGTTTTGTCTCTCTCCTATTCATGCCAAAGAAAAACTTCTGCTGGATACAATACCCTTCTTTCAAAGGCAAACAGAGCCAGGGGAACTATTTTAGTAATAACCTTCTGGGCTGTGTTTCCATGAGAGTTATGTGTGATTACTTTAATCACAGTTTCTTAACTGATCTACGTTGCTGGGTTCAGAGGATACTTTAAAACCAGTATTCCTCAACTTTGGCAACTCTAAGGTGTGTGGACTTCAACTCCCAGAATTCCCCAGCCAGCATGCTGGCTGGGG